CACCATTATTGAGGATGGGATATTTGTGGCGCCACCTTCTCCAATCTTTTAAAAAATTTTCTCATGGGATGTAGGTGTCATTGGCTGGCTCGCCAGCATTTATTGCCTGTTCTTTGTCCATATGCTGCAGGCTGATCCACGATGCCGTGAGGGAGGGAATTCCAGGATTAGTTACCTAATTATTTTAAATGGCCTACGATGGATTCTGAGATTCTGTCCCCTGGTTCAAAACACAGCACCTGGGGAAACATCCCATCTACGTCCTGTTCATGGCTGGTTTACAACTCTTGGCTTTATGCTTCATTTAAAAGAACTTCGGATGTCGTGGATCAATTTTTTTTTGTCCTTGAAGTCCAAACCAAGACTGCTGTAATAGCATTACGATTGAGCTGAATGTCAGTGAGTATATGTGTATGGTCAGCATAATTAAGCTTCCCTATACAATGCATGTTGAGCTATGTACTATGGCAAATCATTCCAGTTACTGGATTCTAATGGAACAAAATAAATACAACATCAGTTAAATTTTTGCTGGGCTTTTAAGATTGTAGTTGATTTTGCTAACATAAAAATAAGAATCAATGTAATCTTGCAGTTTATGGACTTGGAACTGGATTTCCTATAAATACAGACATGATCAGAATGTCTGTGCTTTAGTTATGGATGAAGGTTCTTACGAAACAAGTAATTTCAGCCTGGTAGATTTCAGACAACAAATTAAGTTTGACTTAAATTACCTTAGAGCTGTTAAAGGAGTTGAGAAAAGATTTACGAGGACGTTGCCAGGGTGGGAGGGTTTGAGCTATAAGGAGAGGCTGAATAGGCTGGGAGTATTTTCCCTGGAGCGTTGGCAGCTGAAGGGGGAACCTTTTTTGGAGGTTTATAAAATCATGAGGGGCATGGATAGGGTGAATAGCCATGGTCTTTTCTCCAGGGTAGGGGAGTCCAAAATTGGAGGGCATAGGTTTAAGGTGAGAGGGGAAAGACTTAAAAGGGACCTTTAAGAGGCAACATTTTTCATGTGGAGGGTGGTGCATGTATGGAATGAGGTGCCGGTGGAAGTGAGTACAATTACAGCATTTAAAAGTCATCTGGATGGGTACGTGAATAGGAAGGATTTAGACGGATATGGGTCAGATGCTGGCAAATGGGACTAGATCAGTTTAGGATTTTGGCCAACATGGACAAGTTGGACTCAAGGGTCTGTTTCCATGCCGTACATCTCTATGACTCTATAACTGTTTTGTTCAACGTATAGTATTTCTAATAGTCAAGTCATTGCAGTACAAAAAAATGCATTTGATAGGTACTACTGCAGTAGTACTTTATTGATTCTTTTACTGGCAGTTTCTCTAACTTCTCTGATTTCAAGATGTGTTCTCCAAGAAGTAGGAGCAGGAATAGACAATTCAGCTCCTCAAGCCTAACACTTCATTCTGGAAGATCATTGTTAAATTGCTACAGGCCTCAACTCATCTTATGTGCAGCTGTCCAGCACTCGACTCCTTGATATTTCAAAAATCTATCTACTGCCCTTTAAATGCTGTGTGATCTAGTCTCCTCAACTCTGTGATAGAGAATTCCAGGAATTCACTACCCTCTGGGAGAAGAATCTCATATGTAAATTAGCATCCCTTTATGCTGCTCGAGAATTCTCCTGCTATTGAAAACATCTTGCCAACATGTAACCTGTCAGAGTACCTTTAGAATCTTAAGAACTGAAAGAACTGCAGATGCTGTAAATCAGAAATAAAAACAGGAAGTGCTAAGAAAGCTCAGCAGGATTCTGAGGAATGGTCACTCGGCCTGAAATGTTAACTCTGATTTCTCTCCACAGATGCTGCCAGACCTACTGAGCTTTTTCAGCAATTTCTGTTTTTGTACCCTCAGAATCTTGTACGTTTCAGTAAGATCATTGTCATTCTTCTAAATGCTAATGAATAAAGGTCTAAACTATTTTGCCATTCTTAATAAGTCTCTTTCATCTCAGTAATCAGCCTAGTAAGTCTGTTTTGAATAGCTTGCAATGCCAATTTATCCTTTATTACAAATTGAGATCCAAACTGTACACTCTACAATTTATTAGTATCCTTCCTATAGCAGGATGATCAGAACTGAAAACACTACTGCAAAAGTGGCCTCCCCAACATCCTGTACAACCTCAACATAATGTCCCAACTCATATACTCAATGATCTGAGCAGTGAGGGCCAGCGTGCCACATGCCTTCTATATCATTCTGTCTACCTGTAATGTAACTTCCACAGAACTGAGTACCTGAACCCCTAGGGTCTGTCTGTTCGACAACACTCCCCGGCACTCTATCATTAACTGTAAAAATCCTGCCCTTGATGGTTTTACCAAAATGGAACACGTCCCATTTATTAAAATTAAACTCAATCTGCCACTCCTTGGCCTATTGGTCCACTTGTAATCTTTGTAATCTTAGATAACTTCCTCATGGTGCCCTATACCGCCAATTTGGTGTCATCTGCAAATTTACTAATCATGCTTCCTAAATTCTCAGCCAAATTGTTTATATCAATGACAAATGACAGTGAACCAGCACCTGTCCCTGCAGAAAACTACTGGTCACTGGCCTCCAGTCTGAAAAACAACCCTCTGCCATTACCCTCTGCCTCTTACTGTCAAGCCAATTTTGTTTCCAGTTGGCGAGCTCTCCCCGAATCTCGTGATCTAACTTTACTAACCAGTCTACCATGCAGAACCTTGTCAAAGGCTTTACTAAAGTCCATGTAGACAACGTCTACCACTGTGCCCTCATCTATCATCTTGACCACAGCCTCAAAAAAAAAAATCAATGAAGTTAGTGAGACACAATTTCCCATACACAAAGACATGCTGATTATTCCTGATCAGTCCTTGCCTCTCCAAATCATGTAATTCTCTGTCTTGGAATCCCGTCCAACAACTTACCCACCGCTGATGTCAGACTCACTGGTCTGTAGTTCCCAGGCTTCTCCTTGCAGCTTTTAAAGGCACAACATTAGCCATCCTCCAGTCCTCTGGCACCTCACCGTGGCTGTAGATGATACAAATATCTCTACTAGTACTCCAGGTTTCAACAACACCCTGCAGTTGTAACAAGTCTTCCCTATTTTTAAATGCCAAAAACCTTGCAATAAATACCAATATTCTATTTATTGCCTTAATTACTTGCTGCACCTGCATGTAGCCTTTACTATTTTGTGCACAAGATCACCCAGATCCCTCAGTTCTGACTTTTTGGCATGTCGCTCCAAAAGGCTGTTTACTTGAATGATTTGTCCCAACAAAGTGCGTGACCCCACACTTTCCTATTTCAAACTCCATCAGGCAAATTTTTACCTACTCATTGAACCTATCTGTATCTGATTGCAGACTTGTCTCCTTCACATGCCCTACCACCTATTTTTGTAAGATAACTTGAATACAGTTACCTGAATCTAGCCTTTGTCACGGAAGCTAACTTTTGAATATTGGTAGTGTACATGATTTAGATACAAGTACTAACTGCCAATATCTATGTCTGAACATGAGAGAACATTAGAGAGAATGATAGTTCTCCTGACAGCATTTCAGTTTGACTGCCTTATGTGGGCTAGTTTGTTTTCTCCTTATCTCAGGAAAAATGTTATTTGCCATCGAGGAAGTAAAGCAAAGGTTCAACGGTCTTGTTCCCAGGATGGTAGAGCTATACACTAATGACTCAGAAGAAAGAAGCGAAGATACTGTAGCCATGTTTTTAGATGCAACAAAGATAGTTAGAAAGGCAGGTTGTGAGAGGGACACAGACAGTTTGCAGAGAGATTTTGATCCGTTAAGTAAGTGAACGAAAAGTTGTCAATTGGAGTATAATGTGGGAAAATATGAAGTTGTTCATTTTAGAAGTGAGAACCAAAGAACAGATAGTTTAAAAGGAGAGAAACTGCAGAAAGCTGCAGCATGAAGGGACTTTGAGGGTACTTGGGTACAAAACACAGAAAGCTAGCGCACAGTGCATTCAGTAATCAGGAAGGTTAATGGAATGTTGTTCCTTACCTCAAGGGGAGTATAAGAGAATCAAACTGCAACTGTGGAAGGTGCTGGTGAGACCAAATTTGGACTATTGAAAGTAGTTTTGGTCCCCTCATTTAAGGAAAGATAGATATCATTTCATTGAGGACAGTTCAGAGAAGGTTCAGTAGGATAATTGCTGGTATGGAGGAATTGACCAATGAATAAAGGCTAAACAGGTTTGAACTCTACTCACTGGAATTTAGAAGAATGAGATGCAATCTAATTGAAACATGTAGGATTCTTCTGGGCCTTGATTGGGTAAATGCTGAGAGAATGTTTCACTTCACGGGCATAGTCTCAGAATAAAAGGGTGCCAATTTAAGATTGAGATGAGGAGGAATTTCTTCTGAGAGTTAAGGGTCTTTGGAACTCCTTGCTGCAGAGAGCTGTGGGAGCATAGTCCTTGTGAATATTTGAGGCTGAATAGATAAATTCTTGATCAGTAAGGGGAATGGAGAATTACGAGGGAAAGGCAAAAAAGTTGGCATGAGGGATGTCAGATCGGCTATGATCCTATTGAATTGCGGTGCAAGCTCGAGGGACCAAACGCCTAGTCATGTTCCTATTTCTTATGATCTTTATAAGAGATTATTTTTAAATCAATCTGTTTGGATGTGTTGTGAGGCACATCTGGAGCAGGTGAAACTTGGACCCAGGTTTTCTGGCTCAAAAATAGAGACACTATCACTGTTCCACAAGAGCTCTAATTTTGTCCTGTGTTGTCAGACCCAAACTAGTTTAACTTGTGCTGATTTTTTTGTGTAATTATTTATGTTTTGTGATTGATTTAACTCCATGCTTTGTGAGGTGAAACCTTGGAAAGTATTACACCAAATATTGTCTGGATCGTTCCTACCTTATCATAAGAATTGTTGCCTTTAAATTCCTTCAGTCCTCTGCAGTCCATTGATATTGAAGCTAACTTTAATTTTTGTCTTGCAGGCTTGTATTGATGAAAACCTTGAAATGGTGAAGTTTCTCGTGGAGCATAGTGCAGATACTAATCAGCCAGATAATGAGGGCTGGACCCCACTGCATGCTGTGGCATCCTGTGGATATATCAATATAGCTGAGTAAGTCAGAGTTTTGTATAGTGTGGGTTCATAGTCATATGACTATGCATTTGGAAGTGGGGAAAACAAATGCTACGAGTGTTTTTATGTGGTTGTGAGACACCTTAAACTGATATTCTGCAGATATGCTGTGTAAAATAGTTCAACATGCATGTGCAATTTAGCTTATTAATTTTGTACATTCTAAGTCTGATAGTCTTGCATTTATTGGTTTTTATGAAATGTTACCTGGATAGAATAAACCCTTTTCTAAAATAAAACAAAGTATGTTGTTATTTTGAAGATGATTTCAAACTAGTCTTTCTCCATTTTGGAAACTTTTGAGTGCTAATGGTGACTCAAATAGTTGTAATCGCTGCAAGACGCATGTTGCTGGCTGGCACTGAAATGTTCCCTGTGAGAAGCTGTTAGGGCATGACTGGTTGTCCATACATCTTTGTACTGATTATTAAAGTGTGTTAGGAACGAGAGAAACTCTGGTTATTTTGATTTTTTTTTTCTGCCCTATTGTTTGCAGTTGGCCTGATAATTTTGGAATAGGAGTAGGCTTTTCAGTTAGATCCTGCCTATCTCTCTCTCTCTCTCTCTCTCTCTCTCTCTCTCTCTCAACTCCATCTATCCATCTTGGTTGCATGAACCTTAATATTGTTATCCAGCAACAAAAACCTGTCTGCGTTTTGAAACTTTAATTGAGCTAGCCGCAACATCTCTTTAAGGGGAGAAACTGGTTCCAAAGGGCCATCAATGAATAGATACAAATTTGTGATTAGCAAAAGAAGTAGAATCAAATGAGGAAAAATCATTTGACATTTTGAGTGATTAGGATTTTAAATGTACTTCCTGGTAGACTGGCAGATACAATAATAGTCTTCGGAAGGGAATACTTGAAAGAGATGAAGTTGTAAACTTGTGGGGCAAGTGCAGATTAGTGGGACAAACAAGGTTTTTCTTTGAAAGAGGGAGTGTAGATATTTTTGGGCCAAATGACTTCTGTTCTATCCTGATTGTTCATTTTTAAAATTACTTTGCAGGATGTGGGTGTTTCTAGCCACGTCAGCACTACCCATCCCTAACTTGCTCTTGAGAAGGTGATAGTGTGCTGTCTTCTTGAGCTGTGGCAATCCATCTGTTTTAAGTACATGCTCAGGGCTGTAAGGTAGAGAATTTCAGGATTTTGATCTCCTGATGGTGCAGCAACATAGATCTTGTTCCAAGTCAAAATGATGTGCGACTTGGAAGGAATCTTGAGTGTTGTTGATCTCCTGTATCTGCCAGATCTGGACAGTAAAAAGGCATGAGCTTGGAAAGGGCTATTGATGGTTATAGACTGCTTCAGTATCTGAGGAGTAATGAATGACAGTGCAAAGTGAGCATCCCTGCTTCTGAACCTTATGGGGAGAAGGATATAGATGAAGCAGCTAAAGATGGTTAGGTCAAGGATGCTACCTTGAGGAACAGTTGCAACAATGTTCCGGGACTAACCTTCCAATAACTTAACCATCTTCCTCTGTACTAGCTATGACTCCAATCAAAGGAGATGTTTCTTCCCTCCCATAATTTTCATTTGACTTTAGTTTTGCTAGGGCTTCTTAATACCACAGTTAGTCAAATGCTGCTTTGATGTTAAGGATAATCACCCCTGCGTTGGAACTTGGCTCTTTGTTCTTATTTGGAATAAGGCTGTAATGCGGTCGTGGTCCTGGTGGAAGCCAGGTTAAGCATTATTAAGTGTGTTATTGCAGTGTGGGTGCTGCTTGATTGCAGTGTCAGCTGCACCTCTCATTACTTTGGTGTTGTTTGAATACACTGATGGAATAATTGGCTATATTGGATTTATCCTGTTTTGGGAAAGTCACCTGTGCTATTGTTAATGGTTGTCTATTTATTATTTTCATTAATTTAGGATTGCCTGTATTTTCCCACATCTAATCTTCCAAATTCTCTGCTCTCTTTTCTTTACTTCTTTAGATAATGGTGACCTCTGCCATTATCATAACCTATCTGTTCTTTAGAAAAATTCCATTTCATATTCAAGTTAGCCAGTATCTTCCACTTTAACTTTAGTGCTTAGTCTCCTGATCTTCCCCATTTTCAGTGATTGAACAGTGTCTCCATGTTTTTGAGCCCTTTAGAGTATCTTCCAGTCCATAAGAGTGTTTCTTCTTGCTGCTAATAATACTGAGCAGTTTTCACCAATCATTCTTTTAGCTGTCTCCTCAATTCTCTTTTGTCTGTTGATTCTCTTGATTTTACACATTCCTAAGATCCTAATTGAAATTTTCACATCCCTCCATCATTAAAACTACCTTCAAGAAGCTGTTTAATGTTTAATTCCCGATATTTCTCTATCACTACTTAAAACTTCAATTAATAGTGCAATATCTGCCCATTACTTGCATGATTTTGTATGAAAAGGTGAAATACAAGAATAAACTAAGTCCAATGACAGATGTTAGTTCTATCCCTTTCCCTGTTTCAGCCTCTTTAACTTTAGTGCTTATTTCCCTTGTCATTATGATCTGTTTTGTACCATTTATTCTCTAAGCTGAGTATCTGTCCACATTAACAGACATAATAATTTGAGAACTTTATGACCATTCGTAAACATCTGCTATATTGGCACAAGAGACTTATTGGAGCTTGTTTAGCTTAGAAAAATGACAGTGACTATTCATGGCCAAAATCAGTGTAAAACACTTCATGGTACTGAACCGACTGTCTCTTTACATCACACACAGCTGTGGACCACCAACAATGATTCCCTTTTATTCATTGTTAAATATTTTGATCAGGAAAACAAATTATACAGCACAATTAACTATTTTCTTTAATTTTCTTTGTAGGAGTCTTGCTCATTTCTTGGCTGAGGGACAGGTATTAGTAGTGGTGAATGATTGGAAACTTTTGAGTTTCACGCTTTTTAAAATGTGTTACTGATTTGGATCATTTGAGTGTACAAGTTATTATTTTAAAACTGCAGGTGTCACAAAACTGGGAAGAATTGAAAATAGGATAGTGATGGACTTTGAGGACAGCCTGGTAGAATAGGGCAACGTAGTAAATTAAATCTATCATGAAAGTATGAAATTGATATATCTTGTAAGAGGAATTAGATGAGGTGATTTAATCAAAAGCATGTGGATTGTTGTTAATTCCAAAGTCAGATTGAAATCCATGAAACAAACGATGAACACCTTTTGGTAGGAATAAGTTTGTCTGTTTGTACTTTGATTTAAATCAACTAAATAAATTAGCTGTGTTATGACACAAGGTTAGCAAGCCAGACCAAATTAGAAACCAAAAGGACTGCGGATGCTGTAAATCAGGAACAAAAACAGAAGCTGCTGGAAAAGCTCAGCAGATCTGGCAGCATCTGTGAAGAAAAAAATCAGAGTTAATGTTTTGGGTTCGGTGACCCTTCCTCAGCTTTGCCAGCAACTTCTGTTTTTGTTCCAGACCAAATTAGACTCACTGACGCTAGATATCGAAACAGTGAAATTAAGATAGTCAGTGATCCTCAAAATTACCCAGTTGTTCCTAATTAAATTTTTATGAATAAAAGATATCAGACGCCAAATTGACAGCTGAAACAGAAGGAGACAATTTATTCTTAAAATACAGCAAAGTTTTATTAACCAGCACCTATGGGACCAGGATTGTACCAGTTGATCAAGAGGTCTGCATAATCAATGTAAAAACACACACTAAGTAATAGAAATATAATGCAGGGGATTTACACTTCAAGGTTATATTTTGTTTACAGCATAAATCACTAAAATAATAATGCAAATTTACCTTTAAATAAAACTTGACTGGCAGAGAGCCTTCTCATCACACTGTCAATTGACTACTTCAACATCATGGTAGATCACAATAATACAGTTAACTTCTGGTATTTGAGGAAAAAAAATTGCCAGTTTATTGAGAGTGCTGGTTCATAAAATACCGGTTAAAACAGAGTTTGTTGTAGTAACTTCAAAGTTAAATAACAAGGTAATCTATTTAATGTCTGTGATTTAAGTGCAATCTTCTCTGATTGTAACTCTGACTTATCTACACAGATGGACAGACAGACACAGTTAAGGCATAAATTAAAAGAAAAATGAGTTGTAACTGGCCAGTTCACCTAAGTAGTTTCAAACGAGGTGGACCTGGACCTTTGGGTGTGGAGGTAGGGACACTACAACTGCACCACAAGAACCTAAACAAAAGTTTTTTTTTTATATTTGAAGTACTTAATAAGTGGCCTTCACCTGTATAACCTTAAATTTTATAATACAATTAACATGGAGGAACAGGGAGACCTGGTAGTCATTATTTTAATCAGCTTGTGCAGGCATGTTGTGACACATCTCCAGGGAAGGGGGAACTTGAACTTAGGCCTATGAGCCCAGTGATAGGAGCACAACTGCTGCATCACATGGTCCAAATTGTTGAAGTTGACTGAGTTGCTTGTGAAAGTTATTTTTAAAGAAGGTATATTGGATTCTGGACCTTTTAACATGCATCATGTATAAAAGCAAATTTAGAATGAACCATCATAAAATACTGGTTCGGCCAAATCTGGGCATCATGTTATGGGAAGGATATGAAGTACCAGTTGCAAAACTGCGTGTTACATCCTGCATTTGCATTGTAGAGATAGTTGATGGGACCATGAACCAGTTCCATCCAGGTGGTGTCCAGTCCTTTCCTTGCTCTGCTTGTCTTTTGTTTCGTTGCAACATAGTAGGTAGAGAGTGATGAACTCAGCAGGTGAGCAGAAAGATGTCTGAATGAAAGAACTGCGGATGCTGTAAATCAGGAACAAAAACAGAAGTTGCTGGAAAAGCTCAGCAGGCCTGGCGGCATCTGTGAAGTAAATATTGGAGTTAACGTTTCAGGACCCTGAGGAAGGGTCACTGGACCCGAAATGTTAACTATGATTTTTTTTTTTCTTCCCAGGTGCTGCCAGACCTGCTGAGCTTTTCCAGCAATTTCTGTTTTTGTTGTTGAGGAAG